TTCAACCAGCTTGCAGATATCACTGAAGATATAGTAGCAGAGCAGCTAACAATATAAATGACGCAATTGAGAATTCAATTTCAGTCATAATGCATGCTGCTGAAGTTAGCATACCAAAATCATCTACCTCTCTTCCTCGTCACCGCAGACCTTGGTGGAATGCCAAATGCTCTGCTGCTCATAAAGAGAAGCAGAGATTGTGGAACATGTTTCGTTGCTATCCAACAAGCGCTAATTTTGTGGCTTTTAAACGAGCTAGAGCTTTCTCTCGTAGGACAAGGCGCTAAAGTCAAAGGGAGTTTTGGAAGTGTTACGTTTCATCTACCACATCTACAACGTCTCCCAGACAAGTCTGGTCGAGAGTTACAAAGGCGAATGGTATGTACCGTGAATTCCATTTTCCGGTGTTTGAAAGAAACGGTACTACATACTCAGATTCTGTAGACGTGAGTAACATCCTAGGTGAAGCTTTCGCTGCGGTCTCCAGTCCTGACAGTCACAGTCGAGTTTTTCAATTCCATAAATAAACTAAATTTTGAGACTCGACAGCAATTGTAGTATAATCAAGCATTTACTTCTACAGAATTACAACGAGCACTCGCTAAAGGCTCCCAATACAAGTCCTGGCCTTGATTGTATTACATATGGCATGCTACGCCGCTTAAATACTGTCTCCTTGGGCAACATTCTCGAGCTTTTCAACCGAATATAGGTTTCATCCTTCTAATTGGCTTGAGACAATTGTCAAACTCATCTTGAAACCAGGTAAAGATCTGACTAATTCCATAAATTATCATCACCCTATTGCGCTGACGAGTTGCTTCTGCAAAACTCTCAAGTCCATAGTAAATTCTCGACTCTTTTATTATCTAGAAAAGAAACATCTAATCCCTGACTTCTAAAGTGGATTTTGCAAGTGCAGATCGACTATCGATAACATTGTTGCGCTTGCGCTGTAAATAACTGTGAAACCATATCTAACACAACTTTTTTAACATCCTCATTCCCGGCAATTTGAGATTTCACCAATCTATAGGACTTGCCTGATTGACAATATTAGGGTTGAAAAGGAACTCATGAAAGAGCTCTAACTTAGCCTGATATTTGATAATAACAGGCATTATTGGTTGTGAGTATTTTTCATTTATGAAAATTAAACTTTCTGTCTTCATCAGGGGTCAAGTTAATTCCAGCATAACGGGGATCTTACAAATTTGCTAGAAAATGTGGTGGGCCTAACGCCTGACTAAAGCGATTGAAAATTTTGCTGAACACGGTTTATCAAGACTCTCTTCTTTTAGATCTCTTTCCAAATATCAACAGCTCTCGAAATGGTGCAATCTTTCTGTTGCATTTTATCTAGAGCTGCAAAAATGGGTTTTAAACGCCTTAAAAGATCTTCAGCATTTTGTTTGATTCCAAGGTTGGTAACTTTTTATGAGCATTATCATCAATATCTTTGTGATTTTCTTCGCTAACTTTAACAATGATTGACTAGTTCTTCAAATTAGCCGAAATACAGTCAGCCATTGTATTCCAAAATAACTTCTGGAGGCATCATTAATTTCAATCCCCCAGCTTCTCTACACTTTGCATTTCCCAAATGGATTTTTCCTAAAATATTTCATTTAATGTAATATTTGTCCTTTTATAATCGAAGTATTTATATCTTCTGCAAGAAGATTTAGCAAATGGGCAGAGCAGCCATATGTGATCAGATTTAAATTAGGATCACCTTGAATGTTATTCCACATACCCTTCACATTGGAAGCATTAGTGACAATGCTCCGAACGACACATTTAAATTCTTTTTTGCATTTTATAATAGAACTTTTAGTAACTTCTACTAAGTACTCTGATGTGTACGGACAGCCTGTTGTATCAATAGTATCCACTAAATAATTTTCACCTTTCTCAGTGGTTACAACAGCACAGAGTATTGGTTCATTGTGGACATTTGACCATCCATCTATGCTTAAGTTCGCAATTTATTCATTTAGTTATTGCTTTCTCTTGGTTATAGAATCTAGTTATGCAACACCTATTTTTACTTCATTAGGAGCAGTATACCTTGGTCTCAAAGCAGAAATCATTTTTTTAAACTGAGGTTGTTGAACATGATGAAAGGCAGAGTTGGTTGCATAAATATACTTATATGGTTTGCTTCGCAAACCAAATTCGCTTCGCTCGCTACTAACTTAGGTACATTGCAAATGCACAAAATTCTAAGAATTCAAAACAATCATTCAAATCCATGTAACAACTTTAAAAAAAAAATAAACTAGATCTTTTTAGTAAATACTAAGTCATTAAAATAAATTTGATTCAAATAAATGACATGTAATTCGTTAAACCTATTAGAAATGTGCTATAGTATAAAATCTTAAGATAAAATTTCTAAAACTGATATCTCTTTAAAAAGGTTAAAATTTTAGCTGAAATTAAATCTCTTAAAAATTGAAATAAGTGAATTGCAATGGAAAAACCTGCATAAACAAAACATTATGTTTTTAAAAGATAATAACCATGAACGATTCACAAACTTTGTTAAAAACATAAGTATAAGTCTTAGAACTTTGACATACAAAAGAAAAACTTGCAGAAACTAAACATTAATTTGCAATAAATACTTAATACGAACAAATACTGAGAAAGATTAAGGGCTTTGTTAATAACAAAAAAATAATTACTATTAAAGATTAAGAACTTCCTTAAACACACAATTATAAATTTCTGGACTTGGACCTATCACTGTTAGGCTGTCAAATGATCTAACCCTAGAGAGGCCAACATAAAGTTGCTAAACTGATTCTTTCAAAAGTCTGGCCTTGTGACTTATTTATAGTCATTGAGAAAGTCAGACGTACTGGGAACTGTTTTCTTTTAAAAGAAAATGGCATGTTGTTGTCTGATGGAATCAAAGGTATCCTAGGAATAAAAAATGTTTCAGTTTCTTTAGCATCAAATAATCGAGCTTCAATTATATTCTTTCTAAGGTTCGTAACAATTAATCTAGTTCCATTACACAGTCATTTAGAGGGTATCAAATTATAGAAATGGCATAATTATGGCACCTCTTTTAATTTTTAGTTTATGGGGAGGTATTCCTGTGGGAGTGATAACCTTGGTTGGTTGGATTTTATTGGCACAAGAGCCAGAAATGGCTATGCTGCGCCTGACACTAGGTTATAAGTCGGTCTCTAAGTCAAACTACTGTATTATTTTAAAGCAGAGAATATAGTCCTGTAGTTTTGATAAACTTTAAAAGGTTGTGATGTATAGGGTCATCAAGTAAAGCTGTTAAAAAGTTTGTTCCTCAAATGTTTGAATTGTTCGCAGTCTGTTAAAATATGTTTAATAGTATTGTTTACACGAGATAGAGAACAACTAGGTGCAGGTTCAGATTTTAGTAAATGCATGTGAGTAAAACGGGAATGACCAATGCGCAGTTTATTAATAATAATCTGGGTTTTGCGATCAATATCTATTGTTTTGAAGTTGTCAAGATTAGGATAAATTTCGTGCTGTTTATTATTAATTTGCTTATTCCAGTGTTCTTTCCAAATCTGGTGTTCTGAAGCTTTACATATTCGTTCAAAATCAAGAGATGTTATAAGGTTATTGCTTACATTTTTAGAGGTTTTAGCTGTAATATCTGCAAAGTCGTTTCCGCGTATGCCAACATGTGATGGTATCCAACAAAAGTAATGTGGAACCCTCCAACGCACAATTTTGTAAAGCAATTTTGAATTTGACAAATCATGGGGTTTCGCCCGTTGTGAGGAATACTTGATATAAAACTGCGAGAGTCAGTATAAATTATCCACTTGTGATGAGCTTGGTCGGAGATAAAATTAAGAGATAGCAAAATCGCGTAGCATTCTGCGGTAAAAATTGATGAGTCTTGGTGCAATGGTTCAGATATAGTACAATGTTCAATAACCACACCAGAACCAACATGGCTATCATGTTTTGAACCATCGATAAAAATTGGTTTAAAATCACTTTAATAATTACGATGTTCATAAAATTTTTGGATATAAACACTAGAGCTGGTGTCAGATTTTTTGAAATTATTTTAAATATCTATGGCACACATCGAGACATCAATCCAAGGTGCGATAGTCTCTATATTAGTAAAAGCTGCGAAATTGAAAATATTAAAATCATCGAAAATATTAATGATTCTTATCCCAAATGAATCATTTGTGCCAGTCAAAATTGCTCTACCCTAAAGTCGTTGAGGTGTAACTGTTCTAAAATCAATGTCAGAATATAACTGTTTAATAGGATCTTGGATTGCTGGACAACAAATTTCTGGCAACATAAGCACTTCTCCATCCTTGCAATTGCCAACACTTAATAACCAATTTGCAAATTCCTTTTCACTTGTAAATGCACGCATGTTTTGGGTCAAAATTAAAACTTGCAACTTAGCCCAAAGTGGATGTTTCTTTAAGCAGCTGGCAACTCTCAGAGAGCGGTAACCTTTAGGAATCACTGGCAGCACTTGGCGAAAATCACCAACCAACAGCACAACTTTCCCGCCAAATGGTTGTAAACAATTCATGATGTCTTGTAGAAGTCTATCCACAGCTAAGAAAGCATGCACATGAGTCACGAGAGCTTCGTCCCATATAATCAGCTTGGAGTCGAACAGTAAAGTAGACTCTTGAGATGGAAGATTTAAATTACATGTGGGCGTATCATTTAGGATTATAGAAATTTTAAATGTCGAATGAGCAGTTCTCCCTCCACTTGAGAGTAGCTGCAATTCCTGTTGACGCTACAGGAATAACTGCATCCCCTTTGCCACGAATTATATGTAGCAAAGTGGAATAGATAAAAGTTTTAAATGTGCCTACAGGGCCAGCGAAGAAACACAGTTTTTGAGGTTTATTTTCGTAAATTGCACTTAACACTTTATCCACTACAGCACGTTGCTGCACATTTAGCTTTTCAAAATTATTCTGGCCGGCTGTATGTTCTCGAATCACATCTTAGACTGGTAAACATTGTCGAATTTCAGATAAGGTGACTTCTGGAAGGTTAACTTTCTGTAAAGTTAATCCATAAACTACTAACATTTCACTAATTTCAGCAAGAGCATACTGTACTGCTGTTTCTTCAGAGTATTGGAGTGCAAAATCTTCACTAAGATCCCTATGCTCTCTCCAAAGTTCAGGAATGTTTTCAATTTCTCCGAATCCGCAGATAACAGCAAAGAGCATTCGCAAATGGCGCGGCATACGTATTTGTGAAGCTTCACACAAAGTATTATGCCAGTGTTCATCTCCTTCAAGAAAACCAAGTTTTCTACATGCTTGTTGATAGCTGGCACAGAGATTTCCATTAACGGTTTTTAAATCATCAAAGCTAATTGCACCAGATTTCCTTAATAACAGCATTCGCAAATAAAAACGTTCACTGTCTTGAATACTGACAACAGGCATCCTGCCAATAATTTGATCCCCGCCTCTTTGCCGTCTTTTCCATCTATTACTTTTATCAAAAACGTAATAATGTGGCATATCAGAATAGTAATAACTGCAAGCTTCCACATCAGTTTTATGAATCTCAAACCATGCTGTCAAAGTTGTGTTTCTAGTAGAGGCTCGAGCGACAGCTTCAACTTCATGCCCGCTATGATAAACAATTTGTTGTTGATTTGGTAAATGAACAGCTAAACGCATAACACTGTGCGACTTATCAGACATCTGAAATTCATTCAGTCGCCACATCGATGGTTTATAAAGATACCGGCACAAGTGCAAAAAATGACTTTTTGAGTATTTGGTATCAAAATATTTGTAATTTTATGCTCTATTTTACTAGGATAACGACAGTTTTGTAACTTCAAAAATTTACCTCCTGGAGGCACTAGTGTCTTTAGTGTTTTTAATTTTACGCGCGATTTGGAGCCTATACCAGCAGCCGATAGTGACGCTTTGTCCGTTGTGTCAGTCGTTCGCAAAACATTGATGGGAGAAGTCACGCAGCTGGTGAGTAAATTTAACTAATGGTTGTTGTGTCATTATCTTTTTAAAGTCTCTCTGTATATTGATATTGTTTTTATGCTAAACCGACACTTCTTGCAAATATGTCATTATACGATTCAATTTCCCCCTTACTATTAACATTGCTTTTATGCTACAAAGACATTTCATGCAGTTTAGTCACTATCGACATTAGCCAGAGTGCGTCAGTGGCACAATAGTTTATCTAACAGTCGCATATAGTGCTTATAGGTCAATTTCTTATTAATGGCAGATAATATTTTGGCCATAGTTTTAAAAGCTAAGCGGCCTTCTTTTCAAAATCTAAACCTGTCCTAATTATATTTGCCTAAATAGTTATTGAAACCAACAAATTGCTTTCCCTTTTTTCATTGTAGGTAAGATAATAATGAGTAATCGAACTAGACTGATAGTAAAATTGGCGAGACAACAGTTTCTACTGGATGAAGAGCATGATGTGTGGGAGGTTTTATCTAATAATGCAGCAGCCTCGGCATATCAAAGTAAGTACAATTTATTTATTAGCGTAATATAAATGGATAATCATTTTTTTCCTATTTACACCTACCTATATTAAACGATTAAGCTTGGCAGGTAGTTTTTTCTCATCAAGTATCATCAGACACAATAAAGGGGTTTCTAAAAGTGTCTGTACGAATATTATGTGGGTGTGTGTATAATATGTAGGGTACCTAGTGATGATTTCATTCCAGTATTTTAATTTTTTAGGGACTGCAGACTGGGTTGCTGACATTCCGGAACCTCTGCAATTAACTCCCGTAGCAGTTCAGGAAGCTGAAATGGGACCAGAACTGACTTACACTGAACTGATGCCAGTTGATACTGAAAATTATAAAAGTGATCTTTTGTTACCTAATGGAAATCATGAGACTGACACTGTAGCTTTTCCTGGAATTCATCAAGAGACTGAACCTGTAGCTGTAGCTTGTGCTCCAGGTAATCACCAGACTGATGAAGACTGTAATAGTAATAATTTTGAGGTTTCTCGTAATAATGAGACTGAATCGATACCTTCCACTGGACATCAGGTGCATTTAGGACTTCACCAGTTGAAAGTCTGTATGTGTTATGTTCGGAACCCTCTCTTCATTTCCGTCGCTCTAAACTGTCATTGGATTATTATTTTAAAATTAAATCGAAGTCACTTCATCCACTATACTCTTGTGTCGTTCATCCACAATACACCACTCACTTCTCCTCGCGTCCATCTTATATACCTTCGTTTCGTTTGGGATTAGAATCACCAATATTTTAAATGATTTTAACATTTTAGATATTGAGGTTTTTACTAACACAGGCATCATTCCTCCGTGGATTGATGTTTCAGTATGCGTGTTAGACGTTTTTAATAATTTTAAAAAATCTGACACTAGCTCANTGCTGATCTTCACAGAGATTACGAAATGGAACAACAATCCTTAGGAAGAAAAGTGCTGCCATACCACCAATATTATAAAATTTTCCAGAGTTTCAATATAAGCTTTTACAAGCCGAAAAAGGACCAGTGTGATACATGTATCACTTACAAAAATATTCCAGAAGAAAAAAAGAAAAGATTTTCAAATCGAATATGAAAATCATATTTTAGAAAAAGACCTTGCTAGGCTAGAAAAAGAAACGGACAAAAAAGAAACATCAGAAACAACCATTGTATCTGTATACGATCTTCAGGCAACTTTGCCATTTCCACGAGGGGAAATATCCTCTTTTTATTATGTGTCGAAATTCACTATGTATGATTTGACTGTTTGCAACATAAAAAACATGGAGACGTGTTGCTATACATGGACGGAAGCTGATGGAATGAGAGGATCGTGTGAAATTGCTTCTTGCCTTCTGAAATATTTAGAAAGCTTGAAGGAGTACTCATTACAAATAAAAAAAGCCTCTAGACATCATATTCTACTCTGACAACTGCTCTGGGCAGCAGAAAAATCAATTTGTCCGTCGAATGTATTCCTATGCATTAAAAAAATACGATCACTTATCAAGCATCACACACAAGTTTTTAGTAACAGGCCATACTCAGAATGAAGGGGACTCAGTGCATGCATGCATTGAGAAATCTATAAAAAGGGCACTAGAAGCAGGCCCTATTTATATACCCCAACAGTACAACCAACTAATCAGAACTGCAAGAAGAAGAAATCCCTATAAGGTTAATGAACTTGTGTTTAAGGACTTTAAGAATTTCAAAAAACTACCAGCGGTGAAACTGTATACTTTTAAAAGTAGCCTGGCATGCATGATAAAAATGAAGAAAAACAAGCCAAGCACAATTTTCTTCAAAAACAACTATGGGTCAGTCGAATGGGAGGAGGAAAATTGGCGTCCATCGAATGCAGCTAAGAAGGAAGATGTTGGCCTACCAAATCTCTACAAAAAAAAGCTGAAAGTTAAGGATGATAAGAAATTCACCATCATCCAACTAGTGGATAAAGGAGTAATTCCAGAATCATACCGAGTTTTTTATGAAAATATGTAAACCTTGTCATTTTTGTTCCTAACGTTACCTAATTACCATTTTTTATTTATTTTGTTCCTAACGTTACCTAAGTACCATTTATTTGTTAGTTAGTTTAACATTTATTTGTTCTAATAATATCATTTAATAATATTTATTTATTTAATAAAAATTTAAATTAAAAAAGATTTGAATTTTTTTAATTTGCCTACTTAAATAACATGGAATACATCGATACTAGATAAAACTTGCCTCACTTACAGGGCAAAACTTTAAATCTTATAATGACACATCTGCAAATATTTTCAAAATTTAAAGGTTTATATGAAATTTGTTTCATTTTCCTAGTAGATAATGTAGAAATATAGGTAAGTGCAAAAAATTATACAGATTGAATGAAAACTGAATGAATAGGAGCATTTTTACCAGAAGAGTTTTCATTAATAACTTTAAATGAATCAAATCTCAAAACTATAAATTTGCAGATGCGCCGGTATCTTTATAAACCATCGACATAGCCTCGGGTGCACTAACATAGAGGCCATCAAGAAAAGTCATACTTTTATTATGATCTACAGAATCGTTGTTAATTTGAAGTTTAATTGATGCAGCATTATGGCCTTTATACACATATTTGTAAAGATACTTCACACTTTTAACTGATGCACAAACCTCAACATTTAGGTGGGCATTAAATTTTTTCGACTACCAATGGTTATAAGGAACAACTCATCGATTTTCAAATTATCCTATTTTGATAGGCTCAATAATACTTCTTCTGTAGACAAGATAACCATCAATATTTTCTTGGGTTGTCTCTTAAAAATCTTTTGGAAAACTCTTGGTACACAAACCATCTCTCATACACGGTGAATTTTGATTCAGAGTGCTACAGGGACCATGGATCATGCCCTTGGAAATAATTTCAAAAAGTCAAGGGTTAAGAGTTCTAGCTGGCAATTCTGCACTCACAAATTTGCCAATATCATCCTTTGTCCGAATTTTGGAAGCAGAATCTAATGTCAATAATATATGTGCATGCGGCAAGCCTCATTTTTGAAATTCAATAACATAGATGAATGATGCAACAATACCAAAAATTTTCCGATTTATAATGTCATCAAGAAGTTCTGTCAATTTGATTTTGAAGACTCTAACAACAATATCAGGTCTATGTTCAGGACGCTGGCAACCCAGTAATGCATTCCAAATTTTAGGCCATGCCGGATTGCATGTAAAAGTTATGAAAAGATCTGGCCTACCAAATTTTCTCACAATTGTCATTGCACCCTGGTAATTTTGTTGCATGGAGCGAGGAGATCCTTGAAAAGTGGAAGGTAATATTATCAACTTTCCCAGCTTCTTGTTATTTGAGTATGCCTCATTTTGAAAACCGTCCAGCAGACCTTGATACAATTCTATTCTTAAATTTGTTTGATTAGTTCGCAAATAGTTCAATCTCGATCCTTCAGTTTTGACACATGCATCAACAACAAACTGCTGAAAAAGTTTCCCACTACAATGAAGAAGACTGAAACTGTGTCTAATTGCAAATCTGTAGGCATAGTATTGTAGCTGAGTAACTCTGTTACGTTTGGCAGTGCAGCGCTCTTCCACGTGACTCATTCCAACATGCCAACCACTCTCTCCCCTAGGAAAAAGTAGAGGATAAACCATTGGATCTGTACAATGATTCATAGGAGAAATGGTTTTACACACATCTTCAACTGGATAGATGCACAAATCTCGAGTGGGCCTGTCTGATCGTTGTTTAATGGAATTGTAGCTACGTGAGACCTAGTCCTACGCGCTATTGGAGGGCTTGAATTACCTGGTGCCACAGAGACCTCTTCAGGATCATACACATCCCTGTAACCAAAATTCGTTATTGGAGCCAATTGGTTTTGAAAGGAGGCACTCTGGCCAAATTTAAAATTTCCCACTTCAATTAAAAATACATCGCGTTGTTTTAGTTTAGTTTCATTCCCCCCGAACAGTGCATGGATCACTCTCTCCTTCCTAAGAGGCCACGCCTTAAGCAGATGCATAATATTTTCGCTGGTATAACTGCTTTGGCTCCCAGTGTCAATTGCGCATCGAATAATTTTCTCACGACCTTAACATCTAATGAAAACGAAAAGAGTTTGTAAATATACTGTTTCGTTTAGAAAAGAGAACTTTCTTATGAAATACTTTTTTGGTCATTAATTTTAAATTTAGTACACATTATATCAAAATGGTTATTTTTACAATTAGAACATTTTAAATGATTTTTTTCATCACATAATTTACTTATATGATTAGCTTTTTTCAAACATGAAAAACAAGCACCCTTTTTTAATAATATTTGTTGTTTTTCTGGTAATGACATTTTCTTCGAGGAAAATTTTTTTTCACTGGGGTGTGATCTCTCACAGAAAATACAATTTGGAATTTGCTTAGTTGAATTATCGAAGTTTACCAGAGATGCTGCTGTTGCCGAGTCGGCCAATCTTTCTTACGGTGACTCGGGTGTATGTGTGTGGGGGGGGGCGAAACCAGTTCGAGCTAGCACTGCCATTTCTTCTCCTTTCACTTCTAGACGAAGAAAATTCATCAAATGTTCCAAAGATCGGTCTTCCTTTTTAGTGGAGTCGTGGTTTCGACTCCTCTCCCATGCAATCAGTACCTATTCTGGTAGGCAACTTTCAACTAAGGGTGTCAAGAAGTCCTCATATTTTTCTTGGGTTCTTCCCAAGCTTTCAAATGATCGTAGCTTGCCTTCAAGTTCATCGTAGAGGGATGGCAAATCAGTTTTTGCTCTTTCTGTTGCTGCGTTCCTCTGGACTAAATTTAACAAATCGCTTGCATGTATTTGTACCAGCAAATCCTTGCGCCCAAAACGCTCTTTCAGTTGTTTAATAGCCTTAGAGTAATTAGCCGCCGTTGCAAGAAAACTAAGAATCAGACGTTCTGCTTTCGATTTTGGTTCCATGGATTGTAGCAAGTACTGCATTTTATATTCGTCTGCAATAGTTTTGTCATCGTGAATTTTCTGGAACTGACTCTAAAAAGTTAAGTAATCTTTTGCTTCACTTGAGAGTTTTTTTAGTTCTATTTTAGGGGGTTTATATTTCTCGTTTCCTTGTCAGTCGGCAGCACGGATAGTTGTTCTTCCAAATTTATTTGAGCACATCGATTTAAGAACGTGTCTCGGTAATTCTCAGACTCTTCAAAATCTTCATCATATTCATTTTCTGTCTTTTCACTCTGCAAACGCTGCTACGAGATAGCATTTTGACTAACTTCAAGTCTTTGGAACTTATCATTAAGTTGAAGCTTTAAAATCGATAGAGCTTTTAAATCTTTTACTTCTTAGGCTAATTCCGTTTCGATTTTCTTCACGGTGTGAGTGAAGGCAATTTTCCAGTCCTTTTCTTTGTGTTTTCAAAGCATTTAATTCCATTTTCAATTCGAAATTAAAGCTAGTTCAGATTCATAAATCGGAAGTTCACAAATCAAATTTTCAGTAATGTAAGTTCAAAATCCATCAAATCGAAATTCAAGATCGTAACAAAAAATCAGTTCAAAATTCTGTCAAATCAAAAGTCAAGATTTAAAAAAAAAAAAAAAAATCAGTTTCGAATTTTAATCAAATTTCATTTCGAATTCCATTCCAATAAGCACCAGTGTCCTGCCGAGGGTACCCAAAACTAAATTGGACTAAAATTTTAAAAGAGACTGATAAAATTCTTTGGAAATTCATTCACCCAACTGCCGCTTGGTGGGGCAGCT